AAAAAAACCCCCCACAAAAAAAAAGAGAAAAAAAAAAAAAAAAAAAAAAAAATAAAATAAAAAAAAAAATATTTTATTTCATAAAATCGACTAAATTTGTCTTTTACGGACATTTTTTAAAAAGTATTCGAAACTCGTGGCTTTCATCGATTACATTTAGTGCCACTCATAAAGAATCGCTATTCTCGATACATTTGATGATCCATGCAATTAAGGCTATTCTTGTTATAGGCTCAGACCCTACCGTGTATTTAAGTAAATTTAAGGCTATTCTTGTTACAGGTTCAGACCTACCGTATATTTAAGGCTATTCTTGTTACAGGCTCAGACCAACGGGGTATTTAAGGCTATTCTTGTTACAGGCTCAGACCTGCAGTGTATTCAGTGGCGTAGCTAGGGTCGGTGTCACCCGGTGCGGTAAACTGATGGTGTCACTCCCCCCCCTCCCCCGACATCCAAGATAGATTTGTTATTGTTAAAATAAGTCCACAGTATAACATTGACACGAACAAAAACAAATTAATTAAAGGCCAGGAGGTAAATTTATTTAAGAACTGTATTTAAAATTTTAAAGGAGCCAGAATGATCAACGCATTGATCGTGGGCCCTCAAAGTATAGAAGAAGAAGAACAACGTTAAGTTATTAGTATTTTTACATTAATTTTACTTTATTGAAAATGTTCCATTCCAAGTTTTCAAAGTTGCAAATCTGTCAATCACTTGATCAAATTAAATCTTCTTCACCGTTCCACTTTCAACTGATGGTAGAACCAGATCAGAAAGCCTTGACTATCCCATCTTGGGATCGTAAATAGGTCTTGATAAGCCTTAGTTTTGAAAAGCTCCTCTCACATGAAGTCACAGACACACAGATCGTAATACAATTGAAGGCTTAGCGAAAGTATTGGAAGAGATTCTAGGAAGTCCCATTCAGCTATGAATGTCAAAACATCAAATACTGACCAGTCCTTGAATTTCTGAAATTCAATATCAGCGGCCTTTGGTGTTTTCAAAGCCTAGGTATTTCTTTTAAAAGTTTATCCTCTGAAAGAGGTTAATTTTGGAACGGACACCCAATAACTCTTCTTCACTTGCTGATTGTAGACTCTTGAGTTGAACAGACCCAAAAATATCTGCAAATTCATTGATCACTGGTGATCTGATCTGCAGTTCAGAATAAAAGCGACCAATGCACACCCGTATCTCCCTTCTCGCAGAGAGTCCAGCATCTATTAATTGTTCTACTTTCATTCTCTTCTTAAACCTATGTCTTCTCTCTACCAAATTTCTATATAGTCCTGATTTTAAAAGTACATTTTCAATAGCATGTTCCAAAAAGTGAGAGCGCTTCTCGTGCAGTAACAATCTTATTAAGGCTTCTAGGTTGGTCACCACTTTGTCAAGACTAAAGCCTTTAGTCTGCAGATACTGCTGTGTAAGATTAACTTCCCCAAGTACATCATACCAAAGGTAAAGGTAGCAGATCAACGTGAAATCACAGAAAGCATGTAAAAGACCTTTTGCTTTATGACACTCGTGCTCTAATGTTAAGAGGTGGTGCTTATTGTTGGAAATTGACAAAATACTGAATGTGGCGCATTGTTTTACACACCACATTTTGTATTGTGTATTGACGTCTTGTTGTTATGCAGTTCTTGTCGAGGACTCCATGTTGTTGTTCTCTTAAAATTAAAACGTTGAACTAACCTTGATGATTGCCATTCTTGTTTCATTATCTTCCTTGTGAAGTTGGATTAGCAACTTATATATTTTGAAGTGGATTAGCAACATAATAATTTCAACACTAATGACGAATCGGGCGTAAATATTTATTTTTCAGTATTTCTGGGTTTCGATAGATTTGGTTTCAAAAACATTTTTTTTTTTAAATTAAATAAATTTAGATCTCGCTTAATTATTAAAAGAGATTAGAAAGTTTTATAAAATATGATTTTGTTGACCCTAAAAATGGGTAAAAATTCATCATTAATGTTTTTAATTTTTACCGATTCGATTTATTGACTTAGAATCGTCTGACCAAATCATATTTGGGTTTAAGTTGAAATCTTTATTTCTCAGCATTTACATAAATATTGCTTCCTGTCATTTATGAAAGTTACTGAACACCTGAATCGGCGTTGAATAATGGTCAAAAGAGTGTTTCTGACGCATCATTAGGATTAGCTACACGTGTGGAAAATTAATGTGTGATCGGTTATCATTTTATGAAATTCAGTTAGACCGAGCGGTGTGTGCTC